GAAATCTTAATAAAGAGAATGTGCTCTTAAGCAGGGCTCTAAAACCATGTCCCCCTTTTTATGGAGTAATGACCATTTGATCAGGCATGCTTTACCTCTTGAATGTGCAGACAGTTTAAATTAAGAAATGGGGCATCTATTTCAAATACAAGTATCCACCATAAAAACATTTGAAGTCTCTTAATTCCTTAAAATATATAAGGTTCGATAGTCTGTTGTTTGAAACATCTGCATAGGACTTGGTGAACATCTCACACCGATTGATTTCGACATAAAACCAAGAAATAAAGTTAGGTCCAAACTGTACAAATCACCATCTGTGCTGGTGTCGGCAATTTAATGAATTTCCACTCTGACAATTCACTCCTCTTTACAGACACAGTTAGTTGAAGTGTCAGACATGATACATGATACATGATTTGATGATCAGGTTTATCTTAATTCATGACTGACTAGGCAGAAGATTTCCCTACACAGTGGGTCACCTTTACACAGTTGACTAATCTATCCTTCTACTCACCCCACAGACAGCTTGAGTGGAGAATAGATGGATTCATGCCTTTCCTAAGGGTATTTGCTCATAAGTGAATGTAACGAACCTGAACTGAGTTACCTGATGTCTCATTTCGAGCCACTATCCATTAAAACAATATATATCCATACCAACCCAACGTATAAAAAAAAAAAAAAAATTGGGTGAGGATGTAAAATGTAGACATAAAAACAACTTTTGCAGCAGCAAGGCAGTGAGAAAATTCCAAAGGAGATGAAAAGGGAACCAGACAACACGTAAGCAAAAAAAAAAAAAAAAAAAAAAAAGAAAAAAACTGCATTTGAAACTTTGTCGCTAATGATACTTCACACTTTCATCTCGTCCACATGGATTGCATGATCTTTGCAGTCTCATCTAAATCTTGCTTATGTGCCTATCTATTTTCAAAACAAAATTAGAATACTGAGAGAGAGAAAAAGAGAGAGAAAAAGAGAGAGAAAAAATAAAATAGAAAGTAAAAAGACGAAAATCAGAAAATAAATATAAAAAGACGAAAATAAATATAAAAAGAAAAAAACAAAAAAATATAAAAAGAAAAAACAAAAAAATATAAAAAGAAAAATATAAAAAGAAAAATATAAAAAGAAAAATATAATAAAAATAAAAAAGAGCAAAGAAATTTTTGTTCATACTTTATACAGACTCTTAAAATTAGAAAAGACAGCTTGCTTAATAACTCAATTATGTCTTTAATAAAAAAAAAAAATAAAAAAAATGTTTAAAGTCATTGGCCCCAACAACATTTAAAGGTAATAAAACATATTCATATACATTTTTTTTTTGTTTTTGTTTTATAGCTATTATCCTTATTTCAGTCAATGCAATGTGCAGCATGTCAACTGATGATGACTGGAGAGCATACATGTCAAAATGTTATGAAAAATACAAAACAAAGATGAGGATAACAGCAACAAGAACTTGTAACATTTCAGGTTCCCCATTCTTTTCTTTTTTTTAAATTTATATATATATTTTTTTTGTTTAGCAAGCCAGTAAGGGCTCTGCTATCTAAAATGCTGTCTCGCCACACAGCCTGTATGTATGTTTGCGCAAAGTATCTGTAATTTGTTTTTTTTTTTTTTTAATTAATATTTAATATATATATATATATTTATATTATATACATTATATATCCCAAAGAGGAAGGAAAAAAAAAAAAAAAAAAAAAAAAGATCAGCCAAGGGAAGAAATGTGAAACTTTTCTTTCTGAGTTATCCCCCTAAAAAAGACGTTTTTTTTTTTTTTTAAGTTAAATGTTAACATTTAGATCTTTTTTAGTTTGTTCGATTTTTTTTTTTTTTTTTTTCCAACCAGTTCTATAATTGTTTATAAAGATTTCAATTTTACAATGTCCTTCCATTTACTTGCCCAGGCGTTTTATTCTTTTCACTGAGAATTGTGGAGAAAGGTAATAGCCATGCTATTTAAAGCAATCAGAACATTCAATATTTAGTTTTCTTCTTCAGAATTAGTTCTCTAAATTAGATCCAAGACAATGAGATATTTGCCTGATAAACCACGCCATCTAAAGAACCGAATAGCAGGAGTGTTTTGCCAATGTCTTCGCTTTTTTCAGCAAATGTCTTAAAGAAAGAAAAAAAATAACCAAAGTGTTCAAGGTTTTTCTTCAATAGCTATCTACTTGCTTACCAGTAACTATAGCAACCGTTACAAAAGTAACGTGGTACTAAAACGATGACAGGGATGCAGGAGATGATAATGAAATTGCATGAGCAATAATGACATTTGAAGAAACAGGTGGCAGACATGATGGAAATAAAAACAATAAAGGAGGCAATAAGAGTCAGAGAAAAATAAATAAGAGAGAGAGAGAGAAAGAGAGAAAGAAAGAGAAAAAATAAAAAGAGAAAGAGAAAGAAAGAGAAAAATAAATAAGAGAGAGAGAGAAAGAAAGAGAGAAAGAGAGAATAAATAAGAGAGATAGAAAGAGAGATAGAGAGAAAGAGAATTGAAGATAGAGAGAGAGAGAAAGAGAGAGAGAGAAAGAGAGAGAAGAGAAAGAGGAAGAGAGGGAAGGAAGAGAGAGATGGAAGAGAGAGAGGAAGAGAGAGAGAGAAGAGAAGAGAGAAGAAACAGAGAGAGGAGAGAGAGAGAGAGAAGAAGGGAAGAGAGAGAAAGGAAGAGAGAATATTAAAGAGAGAAAGTCGAAGAGAGAGAATAGGAAGAGAGAGAAATAGGGAAGAGAGAGAAAGAGAGAAGAGAGAAACCCGGAAGAGAGAGAAACTCTTAGAGAGGAACAACTGAAGAAGAGAAACAGGAAGAGAGAGAAACAGGAAGAGAGAGAAACAGGAAGAGAGAGAAACAGGAAGAGAGAGAAACAGGAAGAGAGAGAAACAGGAAGAGAGAGAAACAGGAAGAGAGAGAAACAGGACTAAAACAGGGGCAGAGAGAAACAGGAAAGAGAGAAACAGGAAACAGAGAAGAGAGGAAGAGAGAGAAACAGGAAGAGAGAGAAACAGGAAGAGAGAGAAACAGGAAGAGAGAGAAAGAGAAAAACAGGAAGAGAGAGAAAGAGAAAAATAGGAAGAGAGAGAAAGAGAACATTATTCCTCATAAAAGATGTTTTTGGTTAATAAGGGAAGAGAGAGCTGAAGCAGTTGTATTTTTGGACAATAATTATCTGAGCATTGAAACTTGGTACGAGCAAAACAATACCATAAAAAAGGTGTTGTGGAAGAAGCCAGTACACTGCACAGCAACACTATTTCCCCTTGCAGTCCCAACTGCAACATTAAAATTAATAGGACAAAACAAAGCTGAACAAAGAACAAAAAAAAAAAAAAAAAAAAAAAAAAAGTGTTGAACAGAAGTTGCAATTGTTGTAATTTTAGGTTTAAAACTGACAACAGATAGTGGAATTTTTTATCTTTTGGGTCATAGAAGAGTGGATAAGTTTTTGGAAGATGACCTTTTCAGACATCCTTCTTAGCTTGAAACACTGTATCTAAAAAAGGCCTATCCCCATCATAGATAGTAGATGCAGCTGTGAACAAGTCACTGAAAGAATTAACAACCCTAAAGTCAAGATAACTGAAGACTGTTATTTTGGCAAGAGAGCTGGTTCCACAAGTCTGCCCAGCCTGGCTCCAGCTCACTCAGGTATGGGTCACCCCACCAAGACCGAGAAGGCAGGCAGGTGGAGCTAGGATTGGGCAAGGAGATCAGTTTTTGACTCTCGGAGAGTATTTTGACGCCGTCATGGGCGAGGTCTGTCTACGTCTCAGGACTGAGGTTGGAATCTCACACCCCAGCAAAACGGAAACAGGCATTTCCTGTTCCGGGCAGATCTGCTCCCAGCTATAACATGGAAAGATGAGAAGCGGAGACAGTCAGAGTTAAAAAAAGGAAGAAAAGGTGGAATCATAGAGGGAGGAAGGGGTGCTTTATATATATAGGTGGGAGTTGGAGAAATATAAAAGGGAGAAGGAGGCAAGGTTGGCACAGAAGGTGAGGCATAAAATGAGGGAAAGTAAGAGGAGAAGACATAAGAGAGGGAAAAGAGAGCGATAAAACCAGTAACAATAATAAATGAAAACGGAACAAGATGGGAAGTAATTCTAGAATTCAAAGATGGGAAACAGTTGTTCGTTAAACATGTAAATAAATCAGTCGACATTGGCTCCATTGTTTTAGTGTTAACTGCTGCTGTCAAGAAGAACTTGGTTTCAGCAAGAAAATGATGGATCCAAACCAATGGAGAGAAACACAGTGGGGTGTCACACATTTGACAACAATGACAATGTGATGCCTGCATTGTGAATCAAGCAAAGGCTCCCTCCTGGAGGGTCATTCCCATTCTGTTGTACCAGGGAGGTATACATACGTGCATTGTCATACAATACTTTATGAAACCTGCCCGGAACGGTTAAAATACCCTCCACCATTTTTTGAACAACCTGAAAGGATAGAATTAAATTTCTAAGAGATGTCCAATGCAAAAACAAAATCTTGAACAGTTTTACAAGATATTAAAAAATTTTTTTAAAAAAAGTTACGGGAAAGAGAAGAAAAAAAAAGAAGATTAAAAGAAGAAAAGAAAGAGAAGAAGAAAAGAAAAGAGAAGAGAAAAGAAGAAGAAAAAGAGAAGAGAAAGAAAGAAGAAAAGAAAAGAAGAGAAAGAGAAGAAGAAAAAAAGAGAAGAAAAAGAGAAAGAAGAAGAAAAAGAGAAGAAAGAAAAGAGAAGAGAAAGAAGAAGAAAAAGAAAGAGAAGAAAAAGAGAAGAAGAAAGAAAGAGAAGAAGAAGAAGAAGAAAAAGAAGAAAGAAGAAGAAAAGAAAGGAAGAAGAAAAGAAAAAAAGGGAAGAAGAAAAAGGGAAAGAATTAAAAGAAAGAAAAGAAAGAAAAGAAGAGAAAGGGAAGAAAAGAAAGAAAAAAAGAAAGAGAAGAAAAGAAAAGGAAAAAAGAAAAGGAAAAAGAAAAGAAAGAAAAGAAATAAAAGAAAAGAAAAAAAAGAAAAGAGAAAAGAAAAGAAAAGAAAAGAAAAAAGAAAAGAAAAGAAAAGAAAGAAAAAAGAAAAGAAAAGAAAAAGAAAAGAAAAGAAAAAAGAAAAAGAAAAAGAAAAGAAAAAAGAAAAAAGAAAGAAAAAAGAAAAGAAAAAAAAGGAAGAGAAAAGAAAAAGAAAAGAAAAGAAAAGAAAAGAAAAGAAAGAGAAAAAAGAAAAGAAAAAAAAAAGAGAAAAGAAAGAGAAAAAAAAAAGAAAAGAAAGAAAAGAAAGAGAAAAGAAAAAGAAAAGAAAGAAAAGAAAAAAAAGAAAAGAAAAGAAAAAAGAAAGAGAAAAGAAAAAAGAAAAGAAAGAAAGGAAAAGAAAAGAAAAGAAAAGAAAGAGAAGAAGAAAAGAAAAAGAAAAGAAAGATGGATGGATGTTGGATTTAACGGCATGTCAACTCCTATTTGGGTCAATTTATGCCGAAGCCTTATTAATTTATGAATTTAAGTTGGTTATTTTGTATAAAAAGATGAAAGGTTGTTGGGTTTCATAATTTTTATTTTTAGGATTTTTTTGGGATTGTGTTTTTATTGTTTATGTTTCTAGATTGTGTATTTTATATATTATATATATATATATATATATATATATATATATATATATATATATATATATATATTATTTATTTTATTGAGGATTTTATTTCCTTGAGAAAACTGTATATTTTTTTCTGTGTCTGTATTTTTTTGAATATTTCTTTTAAATCTTTTCCATTGAGATATTTCTGTCTTATTCTAGTTATGATTTTGCATTCCAATAGAATATGTCTTATTGTGATTAGGCTTCCACATTTACATTTTGGTGGATTTGTCTTTTTTAATATGTGAGAATGAGTTAAATATGTGTCCTATATGTGTTCTGGTTATGACAACTTGTTTTTCCTGAGTATTTCCAAGATCATTTCCCATTTTCCTATTTTAGGTTTAATTTGAAATAGTTTATTTCGGTTTGGTTTTTCCATAGATTTTGCCATTTGTTTCTTATGTATTTATATATTTTAGATTTTAAGTCTGTATATGGAATTTGAAGATTTTCGTCAATTGTCATTTTAAAGATGATTTAGCAGCATTATCTGCCTTATCTCCTCCTTGGATGCCAACATGGCTAGGAATCCAGCAGAAGATGATATTTTTGCTTTTTCCATTGAATGTAGTTTATATAGAAGACTTTGTATTAATGGATTTTCCAGTCTTTTTCCCTTTTTAGGAGGTTAATACCGATAATGAATCTGAGAAAATAATATAGTTTTCTCCTTTGTTTTTGATATGAAATTTAGTGCTAGTTTTATTGCGTAGGCTTCTGCACTGAAAATTGATGCTTCATTTGGCAAGCGTTTTTTGATAATTGTTTTTTTTGTTATTGCTATGCTGCCTGTTTTTTTTTTCGTCTTTTGATCCATCTGTGTAAATACTTTCATAGTTTTGATATTTTTCTTTATTTTTGAGAATTTTTCAACGTATGTTGTGGGGTGTGTTTTTGATTTTGATAATTTGTTTAAACTTAATATTATGTTTGGATTTTTGATTATCCATGGTGGTATGTTTGATTGGTTGGTTTTAAGTATTTGATTAGACGGTAAATTATTTTCTTGGATGATTCCTTCCATCCGAGTCCCAATGTTTTGATTTTATTTGTGTAAAGATTAAATTTCTTTGTGATTTGGTGTAAGTACACAATCGTGTGGGGTTAGAAGGACAGGAAGAGAGTTTTAGATAGTATTGAGTAGCTAGTTTCTCCATTCTTAGTTGTAATGGGGTTCGTTTGCCTCTACATGTAGACTCTCTATAGGTGAGGTGGGATAGGCTCCTAGAGCTATCCGAAGGCCTTCATGATGTATTGTGTTTATTGTTTTTAGATAAGACTTTCTAGTTGATTGGTAGACCATGCTGCCATAGTCCAGTTTGGAGCGGATCAACGTTCTATAAAGCTTAAGAAGGGTTTCTTTGCTAGCTCCCCATTCTGTATGGGCTACTGTTCGCAGTAGTTGGAGAGCTTTAAAACATTTTGTTCTTAGGTAACTGATATGTGGTCTGAAGGTCCGTTTGCTGTCAAAGATCATTCCTAGAAATTTATATTGCTGAACTACTGGTATTTCTTCATTTCCTAGTTTTAGAGTTGGGTTATTGTGTAATTTTTTCATTTGGCAGAAGTGTACAGATTTTGTCTTCGTTTTGATATTTTAAAACCGTTTTCGAGTGTCCATTTGTTTATTTGATGTAAACATTGTTGAAGTTGTCTTTCTGCTGTGTTGAGGTTTCTTGATCTGTAATATATTGTAAAATCATCAACATAAAGGCTACAGTGTATTCCTGATTTGATGTTTTTATTATGTCATTTATTTTTATTTTGAAAAGTGTAGGGGAGAGTACACTTCCCTGTGGTACTCCTCTTCTTGCTTTTGATAATCAGAACGTGTAGTATCTATTTGTACTTGGAAGAGTCTATCTGTTAAAAATCCTTTTACGAAGTTTGGTAGTCGACCTCTTTAATCCTAGTTTATGCAGATCTCTCATTATACCATGTTTCCAGGTTTGATCAAATGCTTTTTCTATATCAAAAAATATGGCTATTAGATGTTGTTTGTTTAAATTGGCCTCTTTATGGCTGTTTCTAGTCTTATTATGTGATCTATTGTACTTCTTCCTTTATTATATCCACATTGATATTCTGATATGTGTTTTCCTTCTTCTAGAAACCAACTCAATCTGGCGTTGACCATTCGCTCCATTGTCTTACATAGACAGCTTGTTAATGCTATTGGTCGGTAACTTTGTGGGTTGTTTCCCTTTTTTCCTTCTTTGAGTATGGGAATAATTACAGATTCTTCCATATTTTGGGAAATTTCCCAGTAGTCCAAATATTGTTAAAAATATTCAAAAGGTATTTCAGCGATTCTTGTGGTAGTTGTTTAATAAATTCATAGTGGATTTGGTCTGGGCCTACTGCTGTATTATGGGATTTTTTTATGGCTTCTATTAGTTCTGCTTCAGTGAATAGGTTGTTGTAGGCTTCTGTATTTTTAGATGAAAAAATTTAGTTGGTTATTTATATCTTTTTGTTTACACTTTTGTAGGTTTTGATTTTTGCTCATTTTAGAGTTTTCTGCAAATGTCTCTGCTAGTAGGTTTGCTATCTCTCTTTTGCTAGTTGCTTTAGTGTTGTCCTTTTAAGATGTATTATTGGGTGTATTTGATTTTTCCAGCTATTTTCCTCATCATTTCCCATATTGTTTTGGTTTTAGAATGTGTATTTAGGCTGTTTACATATTTTTTCCAACATTCCTTTTTGGCTTCTTTTTTACAGTTTTCCGTGCTACTGCTTTGAGTTTTTTCATTTCAATCAAATTTTGGGTTGTGGTTCCTTCTTGAATTTTCGTAATGCTGCTTCCCGGTTTCTGACTGCTTTTTGGCAGTTTTTGTCAAACCAGGGTTTAGTTTTTTTATAATTATTTTGCTTTTTTGGTATATTTTCTGAGGCAATGGTTATTAATGTCTTGGTAAAGTATTCTACCGAGTTGTCTGTGTCATTTGACTGTATCAGTACTTGTTTACATTTGTTTTTGAAACCCTCCCAGTTGGCTCTTTTCAGTTTCCATCTGACAGGGCCTATCTTTTCTTCCTTGGCAGGCTTTTGATTTTCTAGTATGATCGGGTAATGATCACTGCCACATGTGTCACTATGTGTTTTCCATGTATAATCCATACAAATTTCTGGATCGCTTATACTTAAGTCTATTGATGATTCTGTTCCATTGGAGGGATTAAGGTAGGTTGAGGATTTATGATTTAATAGACATAAGTTATGGGTGTTAATTATTTCTTCTAATATTTTACCTTTAGTATCTAGCTTTTTGCTATTCCATATAGGATTATGACTGTTAAAGTCTCCTAGTAAGATTCTGGGTTTAGGAAGTTGCTCCATCAAGTTGTTTATTTCTGTTGTGTTTATTGGGGGTATATAAATGGAAAAGAATTGTGATGGTTTTATCTAGTGTCACTTGTGTTGCTATTGCTTGTAATTTAGTTTTAATGTGTACTTTACTTTTATGTATGTCATTTCTGATCAATATTGACACTCCTCCATTAGCTCTATGTCCTGTATTGTGGTTATAGTGGTATTGTTTATAATTTTTAATTTTAAGTTGGTATTTTCTTGTAAAAAGTTTCCTGTAAGCAGATGACGGCTGGATACAGTAGTGACATAAGTATGAGTAGGTCATTGTAATTTGATTTTATTCCACGACAGTTCCATTGCAGGATCTTATGTGCCATGATTATATTTTCATTTTTTGGGAGTAAAGTTACCTACTAGGTTGGTATCATTTGTCCTCTCCAATTTTTTTTCCATCTCTTGAGTTTTTAGAAGCTTTGTCTTCAACTGCTTGTGGTGTCCTTCGATCAGATTTTTGATTTTGTTTTGAATTTTGTTTATTATCTTTCTCTTCTATTTCTATATATTCCATAGGTTCAAATTTATTTTCATTTGATATACTGATTCTCGATTTTGAGTTAGATCTTGATCGAGTGCTTTCTTGCTCTGTTGTCACTTTTTTTTCTTTTTGTTTATTTTTCATTTTCTTAGTTTGGGTTTGGAAAGAAGAGGGTTCGCTGGAGTTTTTGTTCTGTGTTTTCTTTCCAAAGTTTTTTTGCCTCCTTCTGGGTTTATTCCATTTGATCTGGGTTGTTGAGTTTTATTTTGATCCGATTTAAGTTCGGTTAAAAAGGTTTTTAATTCTTCAAGGAAAGCTTTTAATTCCTTACATAGATTTGTTATTTCAATTGAACATTTTATTTTATCTTCATTGTTTATTTTATTTGCTTTTTGTGCCATGGAAGCATATGTGTTTTCTTTTATATTATTTATATCTTCCTTTCGTGCTTCTATGTAAGATATATTTTTTTTGTATTTTATTCTAATTATTTCTTTCTCCTGTTTATATATATTGCATTGTTTTGAGAGGGCAGAGTGGTTTCCCAAACAGTTCGAGCATAGGCTCTCATTTGGGCAGTTCTCTTCTTTATGTTCCGGTTCCTTCTCGCTACATTTCCCACATATTTTTTTATTTCTACAGGAATCTCTGTGATGCCCAAATTTGTGGCATTTATAGCATTGTAGAGGGTTTGGTACATATTGTTCTACTTTTTTATACTTTCATATCCAATTTTTATTGAAGTTGGAATTTGGGGGAGTTGAATGTTATAATGTAGGTATTAGTTTGTATCTCAGCTCCATTTTTTTAATTGTTATTCTTTTAACATTTGTAACTCCTTGAGTTTGGAGTTCTATTTTTTATTTCCTCTAGAGTGCACAAGGAGAGCTCCTTACTTTTTACTACTCCCTTTGAGAAATTTAGGGTTTGGTGTGGGTAGGTTTTTATTTCTATCTCTTGTAGTTTTTTTTGTCTGATCAATGTGTCCGCATATATTTTTTTTTCTACTTCTATTAGTATTGTTCCATTTTGTAATTTTTTAACCTTTTTTGGTATTATGATATTTGATATTGTTTTTTGTATTTTAAACGGAGAAATTTCTGATAATGATTTTTGGCTTATTGCTTCGAGTACAATAAACCGTGGAAAGTTTTCACTTTCATTCTCTATTTCTGAGTCGTTATCCACATGTGGTCTCTTGGAAGATTTCTTTTTTTCCATTGATTGTTTTTATTTTTGTTCATCATTCTCGCTCCCTACCCACCACGGAGTCCAGATTGGGACATGTCAAGGGGGAAACCCATTCGCCTTGCCATGTCGGGGCTACGTGAATGATATACTCTTTTTGGGAGGAGTCTTTGAGCACGCATGTTCCTTTGTTTCCGTTTTCCAAGTATTACGGCTGTGAAGGTTTAGCAAGTGTGTCAGATCCTTTTTTCCCCCAAATTGATTGACCCTCAGCCACCGCCTTCCATCACATATTTAGGGTTAAGTGTTAGTTTTGGTTGGGAAGAGGAGTGTCAGTTATAGGTTTGGGTTGGATTATATATGATGGGGCTTGACATGACCAGCCGATTGATCGGATCGGGCCCCTCCGACCGCCTGCCTAGCCCAGGTAAGGGCCAAAGTGGTGTTACAAGATTGTGACCGCTTTTACACCTGGGTTACAACCTGCTCAACCACCAGGATCCCGTCCCCAGACATTACGGGTCGCCACCCACGGCCAACAGGTGGCCCCATTGAGGGACTTTTTTACTCTGCAGGGGGGCAGTCGGCGATTCTGATGCCCCACCGATCGGGCGAGAAAAGAAAGAGAAGAGAAAAGAAAAAAGAAAAGAAAAAGAAAAAAAAAGAAGAAAAGAAAAAAGAAAAAAGGAAAAAGGAAGAAAAGAAAAAAGAAAAAAAGGAAGAAAAGAAAAAAGAAAAAAAGGAAGAAAAAAAGGAAGAAAAAAAGAAAAGAAAAGAAAGGGAAGAAAAGAAAGGGAAGAAAAGAAAGAGAAGAAAAGAAAGAGAAGAAAAGAAAGAGAAGAAAAGAAAGAGAAGAAAAGAAAGAGAAGAAAAGAAAGAGAAGAAAAGAAAGAGAAGAAAAGAAAGAGAAGAAAAGAAAGAGAAGAAAAGAAAAAGAGAAGAAAAGAAAGAAAGAAAGAGAAGAAAAGAAAGAGAAGAAAAGAAGAAAAGAAAAGAAGAAAAGAAAAGAAGAAAAGAAAGAGAAGAAGAAAAGAATTAGAAGAGAAGAAGAAAAAGAAGAAGAAAAAGAAGAAGAGAAGAAGAAGAAAAGAAAAGAAGAAGAAAAGAAAAGAAAAGAAGAAGAAAAGAAAAGAAAAGAAGAAGAAAAGAAAAGAAAAGAAAAAGAAAAGAAAAGAAGAAGAAAAGAAAAACAAGTACTGATTAATTTCTTGGCCCAATCAAAAAGGATTTTTTTTTAAAATTAAATTTAAAAGAAAAAAAAAAAATAATTTTTTTTCTTTACAGGCCTTAATATCTTGGCCACAATTTGGGTAAATGGTAGTACAGAATAATTCTCTTTGATCCATTACCCAGAATCTGACCAAAACATTCACACACTGTTACATATGCGGTTGCATGAATAGTAGTTTGTAACTCTAGGTTTCACACTTTCACAATCTTCAGACAAACTGGTTTCTTTTTAAAAAAAAAAAAAAAAAAAAAAAGGATCTATTTATGCTTTATTTGGATTTGATTATTTGTGTATGGAGGGAGGGAGGGAGAAATTTTCTCTGTTTGGAATGACACTCACATATACATACAGGCATGTTAGTTCATACTTACACACCCATATTCATAATCTTGGGTTAGGCACAGTTACACGTTCATGCATTCAAATAGACGTATTTATGCAATTTTCATTCTGTCTATTTCACAGTAAGGATTGCAGCGTTTCATATGTAGCAATGTTCCATTAGTAGTGGACAGCTGGAAGTGGCTTTGACATTTTTCAGGTTGGATATTTGCACCGGCAGACATGTTCACATGCACTCACACATATGCAGATGCATGATTACACTTATTGATCTGGGTCTACTACCACCATCTGGGTAAATTTGGGTTCTGCCTAGACATGGTGATGATGTTTGCATTTTTGTTTTTTTTTTGTTTAACAACAATAACAACAACTGCTGCGTTATTAATGATTGTGATTGTGTTAATGGTAATATTAACTGTGATATTATTATAGATATATTGATAATATTTGATGTTTTATTGCTTATGATGAAGAGTAAAGTTATCCTTAATAATGATGGAAACAATAACAATAATAGTAACATTAGAAAAAAAATGAAGACAGTGCATCTCTTCTCATGGGCAGGAGTACCGAGAAACATCATGGCCAGATGTTTATTTTCTAATTTTTAAGTATGACATAGTTAAAGCAACTTTGGAGTTATACCCTAAGTACACCCTCAATTAAAGGCCATCTGGGTGGACTGGGTGACTCAAGCTGAAGGTATTACTAACAGGGTTTCTATCTGTAGTGTTCACGCACCACACTCACCAAAATCTGTTACCATATCAAAGACATTGGGCCGTGATCCATGTACCTGATATGCATACCCTTAATCAGACTGGGTCTCATCATGGTTACATTGGACTTAGTATATTTGGATGCCAGCATCAATTTGTTGATATCATTCTCCCACTAAATAATGATCCTACAATTTCAATCTCTATGATTTTGATCCTTTAATCATGATGTTTTTTTGATTTTGATCCTAATCATGATGCTCACAATGATTATGATCCTAATAATCATGATGCTCACAATGATTATGATCCTAATAATCATGATGCTCACAATGATTATGATCCTAATATCATAATCACAATGATTTTGATCATTGATGATGCTCACAATGATTTTGATGCATCAAATGTGATCACGATGATCATCTGAGATAATGATCATAATGATGATCACAATGATAATGATCATCACGATCATAATGATCATCACGATGATAATGATCATGATCATAATGATCATCACGATGATAATGATCATAATGATGATCACTATCACAATGATAATGATCATAATGATGATAATGATCATAATGATGATAACGATCACAATGATAATGATCATAATGATGATAACGATCACAATGATAATGATCATAATGATGATAACGATCACAATGATAATGATCATAATGATAATGATTACAATGATAATCCAGATGATGATTACAATGATAACTACTTACCTCTTCAGGGATATGCACTCCTGGAGTTGCTGGTACTCCTGTCATAAAATCATTGGTTATAAATGTACGGATGACCACTGATCTTTGACATGAAGGCTGATGGTTTATAGGGTCTCTGTCAAAGTGCAAAGGGGTAAGAATGATGGGCATTTGAGAGATCTTAGAAATGTAACCAGAGTCCTGCAACACTTTGGTAGCCATGAAATCAGCTTGCCTTAATGTGCTGAGGACTCCATCTGTAAGGAAGGTTGGTGTTACGTCTTCGACAGGAAACCGAACCATGCCTCCAAATACATAGACGACCCTGCAACAGAAAAGGTTTTGAGTAGAATCAATTAGTACATTAATTACGTTTATTGGTTTATTTTATGGCATATTAACCTCAAAGGGTTATTTAATGCTGACAAGACTTTTAGTATAGGTTTGTATGAATAGAATATGTATTCTTTGTAAGAAATCAGTTTGTAGATCAGGTTTCCTTGTTGTATTTTTGTAAAGCGGGTTCTTTTATTGAGAGTCAAGTATATTGCTGGTAATGTTTTTTTTTTCAAAAAAATATATTACTAGCAATATTTTTGTTTTTTCCAAAAATTTATTTCGGGTATTTCTCACTATAAAAATCCTATTTTTACACTTTCATAGTGTTTTTTGACCCCAGTTTGGGGGCTATTTGCCCATAACTGGGAAGAGCAGCAATTAAGGGGTGGTCCCACACTCGTCAAAACCTCCTCCTGACCAGAGGCATTGCTGCTGGATGTAGTTTATCATCATATCCCGGATGCTTGGATTATTGTCATTGAAAATGTCGACAATGTGAGTGTGGGTTCACTGCTTTTTGAAAAGCCAACACTAAAGCAGCACTTTGCAAAAACAAAACTCACTTGTACATCAAAAATCTCTTGCTTGTAATCTCATTGGCTTCAAAATTTTTTTTTTTTTTTGCAGATTATGTCACCTCGGCTATTTTTCTGTTATACATCGACTGATCGATTCATTTTCCATAGCTTATCAACCCTTTGCAGGTTATTTAAAGCCAGAAAATATTTTTAGATTAAAAATTTTTTTTTTTTTGAGATAATGGTTTTACTAATTAACAAATAGCTGGTGGGGGTGGGAAGAAGGTGGCTTTATACCTAAACAGAATTTGAAAAACATAAGAAATAATGTAGATGTAAAGGGGTAATCAATTCTATATTATAATCAATATATAAACTGACCCCTCATTTTGCGGTCATAGTAGTTTTTATACATTTATATTCCATAGAATGTAAATAAATCTAAAAGACACGCCTGCGTAGCTAATCAGTATTTGACTGATTGATTAGTTTTTTTACAGCTTATCAAAGCTTTGCAGGCTATTTAAAGCCAGAAAATATTTTTAGATTTTAAGAATTTTGGTATGGTTTCTTTTATGGCCTATCAACCTCAATGGGTTATTTAATGCCGACAAGATTTTTACTGCTGGTAATATTTTTTTCAAGAAGTATTTCTGCTAATATTTTTTTTCCAAAAAAGTATTGCTGGTAAAAATTTTTTCTTCAAAAATTTACTGCTGGTAATATATATATTTTTTTTTTTTTTTTTTTTTTTTACAAAAAAATGTGTTACTGGTATCAAAACCTATTTTTACATGTTTTTACCCCAGTTTGGTAACTACCCATAGCTGAAACTAACTGGCTACCACCCCAGGTCATCTAACTATTATTGTAGTACGTACGTTACACCATGCCAATACCATGTAAATAAGGGACAATTCCATTTTAATCAAAGGGAAAGACAGAAACAACATATCAGAGATGGTGTTTGGTGTCAGTGAGAAAAAAAAGACAGACAGCATGGCCATAACATTCATGTGTTTAACATCTGCTTAGGTGAAATGGAAAAACTTGTCAATTTCAAATATTTTCATTTGTACCCCCTTACTTTAAATAATGACCTGCATTCATACTTAGGATTGTTATTACAATATTTGGTTGAAGTTGTTAAACTCAAATTTTAATGATGCAATAAGAGAATTTTCATGGGTTGTTTGCAGTGTGAAACTTGCATTATTATGATACATCAATAAATTCAAATAGGAAAACCAAAATTTTCACAGGTACTACTAGTAAAAACTAGGTCAATATCTATTTCTTTGTGTTCTTTTTTTTTTGTTTTGTTTTTTAAAGATGTTTTTTTTTTTTTTTTTTAAACTTTTACATCATCACTTACCTGTTTATATTATGACAAATTTTGGGAATCAATTTCGCCAGCACAAACAGATTTTCCCATGCAGGTTCAGAATCTCCTGACAAAGCAGCCACATAGCTGTAAGTTCTACAGTCACCCTGGAGAGAGAGGAAAAAAAAAAAAAAAAAAAAAAAAAATAAAAATAAAAATAATAAAAATAAAACATAATAATCACTAAAAATATGTACAGGTGTTTATAAATCTGAGTCTATTAAAGCAATGATACTCTGTTTTAGCAGAGGATCCATTGCCCCAAAATGAAACATGACAATACTAAGTTTTAACACCCAATAAGAATCAAACTTTAGCAATTGATTTTGGTGCTTCATACAATTTTGCTGTCAACTACTACTCCATAGTGAAGCTTTATATTACTGTTTCGATTCTTGGACAAAACTGCCGAACTGAGTTAACCCGAATGGAATAATTTCTGAGTCGACCGCTGTGTTGTATACATTCACGTGTCGTGGCATGCTTTTCTTTTCCAATTTTATTGTATTGTGACTTTTCTCTACACTGATTCCTATTGGAAAAATCATTTTGATTTACAAAACATTTTGGGTTATGAACAACCTTCAGGAACAAATTAAATTCATGAATCAAGGTTTGACTCTGTGTGTGTGTGTGTGTGTGTGTGTGTGTGTGTGTGTGTGTGTGTGTGTGTATATATATATATTTTACACAACAAAATCCAAAATTACCTCATATGGGGGGATAAATCTATTTCAGCCAATGCAAAGTATATCAGCCTTATTCTGAGGTTGAAAAAGATCGACATGCTTTGTGTTGGGTGAAATAGATCTCTCACCCCCCGCCCATATGAAGTAATTTTGGATTTTGTTATGTAATTTATAATGAATACATTGAGCTCTTTTTGTGGATCAGTTTTAATATTATCAGGACCCCTTTTGTAGGCTACAGGCTTTAATTTCTACATTCAAATATATTAACCAATCAGTGGCATCATAGGAAACATGCTGTATTTTTTTTTAAATTTTATCATCTGCTATGAAGTTTTGAAGGCTCACTCCAGAAAATAATCAATATTTTCCCTCCTTAAAATAGATATTTAAAAATTTGGAAAAATATTTATAAACCAATAAACTTGTGGGTTTAATAAAATCTAATTTTTAGTCTTTTCTGAGCCGGTTTCTTGGTTAAAAAAGTGATTGTATTAGTTCACAAAAGTTAGTTTTCAGTTATTCCATAAACCTTTAATGAGGTTTGTTCGTTTGTTGTTATTCAAGCTGAAATGCTCAAACCTTAATTAATTACTCACATTTTCGCATATTTATTTGAGTATACTATGTTGAGTTAATAAACACAAAAAAGCATACAAACCGAGTTATTGTCAACACAGATTTTAGCAGTAGTATTAATGCTGACAGCCTCACCTGCTATCTGTTAGTTGCTGCTACTAGGAAATTATACACATGCATAAAATAGCGTAAATACGTAATACTCACGTATGTAGATCCTATTATATTTTCTATTATATTAACGCAAATATTTTGTTGCATTATAAATAAAGAAAAATATTTTTGTGTGAAATTGTTTTGCAAAGAATCTTTGTAATTCATTTCTTCCAATTTCAAAGAAAACAAATACTCAGTAACAAAATTTCATTAAATTTGTAGAGCCGTGTTTGAAGATCACTTATTTCTTCATTTATCTTTGCCTATTCCTCTACACACACACACATACAAACATAAATCCAGCAAACTGTTCGCAGCATACTTGCAGAAAATATTACTAATATCCACATGTAAAATAACAGCTAAAAATAATGCAAGCATTAATAATAAAAAAAAAAAAGGAAAAAAAAACAACACTCAATATCAAATATGAACATGGCCACAAAGTTCTGACAGTGTTTGGAAAATAAAAACCATTCGCATCACTAAAGGTACACATATATAAAAGTCTGCATATTCAGTTAAAAAAAAAAAAAAAAAAATATTTGGTTATGAGTTGAAGATGCTCAGATATATAAAATATTTGGACACTTTATGTCCAGAAAAGAAAATACTTACACGAATGCAAGAATAATTAAATAAAAAGCTTAATCGCTGTACCTTGTCAGTTGTCTTTAATGAAACTTGTATTAAAGAGGGATTGTTGCCCAAATTATTGTCTACGTGCCTGTTTTATAGAGAGCTTGCATCTCAGACCCAAATCAAAGAAACGT